CCAGTGGGAATTCCAGGAGGCAGTTAAATATGTGAGTCTGGAGTTGAGAGGAGAGTCCAGGTCAGGGACATAGGTGGGAATTGTCATCATCTGAGACAAAGCGACTGGATGAAACCACCCAGGGAGGGCATATAGAGGGAAATGTGACTGGAGAGATGGGCTGGAGCTCTGGGACACCCCAAGGTTGAGGGGTGAGGACAAATCAGCCTAAACACAGAAGGAGAGGCTGGGAGGGGGAAAATAGGGGAGAGTGGGGCTGCAGATGTCCAGAGAAGACCAGGTTTCAACAGAGAGGGAGTGGCCCACATATCACATGCTGCTGAGAGGCTGTACAAGGGAAAGGCAGAATTGGCCGCTGGATTTGTCAAGGCGGATGTTGATGGCCTTCAGAAGGGCAGTCTCAATGGAGTGGTGGGAACAACTAATTCACGTGGGGGTGAGGACAGGACACAGCTGGGGCCACATTTGTGGAGGAGTCTCAGTTGGAGAGGAGCAGAGGCAAGGGCCAGTAGCTGTGAGGATGAGGGCCAGGAGAGACAGTACTGAGATGTGTACTGAGATGTGTTTTTGCAAGGGTGAATGAGTTGAGAGGGAAGAAATTTTTTTTTTTCCTTTTGAGACAGGGTCTCACTCTATCATGGCTCACTGCAGTCTTGACCTCCCAGGCTCAAGCAATCCTCCCACCTCAGCCTCCCAAATAGCTGGGATTACAGGTGTGCTTCACCACATCCAGATAATTTTTCTTTTTCTTTTCTTTTCTTTCTTTCTTTCTTTTTTTTTTTTTTTTTTTTTTTGTAGAGACAAGGTCTCACTATGTTGCCCAGGCTGGTCTCAAACTCCTGGGTCAAGCGACGCTCCCACCTTGCTCTCTCAAAGTGCTGGGATTGCAGGTGTGAGCCACTTCACCCGGCTGGAAGGAATTATTTACTGGGGTGGAGGCTGCCTGGGAAGGAAGAGGTGAAATCTGATGCAGGAGGAGACTGGCACGCCCTGGATCAGAGCAGGGAGAGCTCACCCAGGCGCAGGTGGGCAGGTGAGTTTGGGGTGGCTGGAGGAGATCGTCCTCAGCTGACAACAGCCTTTGCCACCCGCTCTGTGAATTGATCATTAACATTGACAGATACAGGTGTCTAAGATTAAAGGAGACAGCCTCTGTAACAGCTGTCAGCTTTCTTGCACTATTCCAGAGGTCTCACACTGAGTCTGTCCTAGGGAGCGCAAGTCTTAAGGGGTGGGTCTGAGAATCTAGGTATTTGTGTTTAGTTTAGTGAATCTAGTAAGCAGTCAGGCTTGAGGGTACCTCAGAAGGGCTCACATTACTCTTTAGATCATCAGTAATATTATCTGAGTATCCAATGTCCAATCTGCCTGTCGCAGGGCAGTGGAGAAGGTGTACGGGATTAGGGGGTCGAGTTCTGTTTTCTCGGCAGCCCTTTATTCTCGCTGTCTACAGATTAATGAACACATCATTTTGCCCAACCTCCAAGAACCCTCAGAATCCGGCCGCTGCATTCCTGTCCTGCCTGACCTATCTGGACGGTCTTATCACAAACTTTCCTTACCCCAGAACCTACACCAGTGAAGATTTGCCCGGTGAGGCCTCAACGGGTAGAACCGAGACCCACGGGCCCATAGATGGGAGCTACAGAGAATATTTTGGCTGGTCCTGAGAAATTAAAAAAAAAAAAAGGTTTTGCAGTCAGGATGCTTCTGCCCTTGGATGGAAGGTCAAAGAGAGAGGCAGCATTTCTGGGGCCCAAAGCTAGGGTCACGTGGTGGAGGGGGCAGGGGGCAGGGACCACAGAGAGAAGGCTGGAGCCACAGAGGAGCTGCCCCTGCGAGGGTGGGAGTGGGGCAGCTTGCTTTTCCCCGTCCCAGTCCTCCATGAAGGCCTCTCCTTGGTCAACACCGCAGCCCCCAGGAAGCCAGAACCCTACCAAGAGTGGCCAATCCTACCAGGAATTCCTCCTATGAAGCCAGAAGGCAGGGGATTCAGGGAGAGCAGTTCCCTTTGAAACAGAGCAGATACTAGAGCACAAGCAGGCAGGAGACGCACAGGTCCCAGGTGTACACGCCCGTAGCCTCGATGCCTTTACTTCTACAGTCAGGATTGCTTTTTAATAAGCTTTTGTGGGACAATGTATTTGATACCTGTGTTCCTAATTAGACTGTAAAGTCCATGAAGTGAGAACGGGAATGACTCCCTTTCCCAGCGGAATACCAGTGTCTGACCCTCACTGTTTGCTGACTGAGCTGGAGAACACGCTTTCAGCCCAGGTTCCCCACTCCAAAGCCTTATCTCCCACCCCTCCTCTCACCCACTGCCCCACTTTCTCCATAAGGAAACTGGAGGTTCCTTAGAGGCCCACAGGGAGAGCCAGGAACTCTGAGCAGTGTCGTGTGTGGCTGCTGTGTGTGGAGGTTCCACCAACAGAAATGAATACCTTCAGGCTCATCTTGATTGCACCCAGATCTTGTGACCTTCCTCACAGAATCAGGGACCTGCATCTTGAATGGAGGTTTTAAGTGTCTGCCAAGTCAATGACTTTCTATTTTCTACCATGAGGTCCATTTAAATGAATTCTTTAAAAGCAAAATTATATTTCTTTTTGAATAATTAATAGATTCCTGTGGCTGAACTTTCAAAGGGATCAACTGAATATAAAGTGAAGGGTTTCCTTTCCATTTCTGTCCTCCAGCCATTCTGCTCCCCTCCTTGGAGGCAACTGGTGTTACCAGTTTTTTGTATGTCTTTTCCAAGGTTTGTGTCTAATCTACACACACAGAGACGCACACACACAGACACTTTTTTACATAAATTGTTGCATATTTTACAAAAAGTTCTGTACCTTACTGTTTGTACTTGGTATATCTTAGAGATCTTTCCGTATCAGAATATGGAAAGCTGCCTCTGTTTTAATGTCTGCATCATGTCCCAGCATATGGATGTATCACAATTTATTTAAATAGTCCTTTATTCATGGACACTTGGGTTGTCTCAACCACGGGCTACTGCAGTGAACAAGCTTTGTACTGTCGTCACTGAGCTACAAAAGTCGTTGACCATGGAATTCTCCATGAAGATCTAGAAAGAGAATAAAAATTAGTGGAAAGTTTGAAACAAATCAGAAAGAGTGGATAGGGCTCTGGACTAGAAGTCAAGTGATTTAACTCCTAAAAGTAATTTTTAAAAGGCCCCCTATCAAGTTCCTAGCTTCCCACAATTTACAAAACAATTTAATATCTGCTAACTCATTGAGTCTATAGGAAAAAAATAAGCTGTAAAGGGCTTATTGTTTCCCCAACTCCTTGACTCACTGACTGCATGACCTAAAACGAGTTTCTAGGCCGGGCGTGGTGGCTCGTTCCTGTAATCCCAGCACTTTAGGAGGCCAAGGCGGGCAGATCACCTGAGATCAGAAGTTCGAGACCATCCTGGCCAACGTGGTGAAACCCTGTCTCTACTAAAAATACAAAAATTAGCTGGGTGTGGTGGTGCATACCTGTAATCCCAGCTACTCGGGAAGCTGAGGCAGGAGAATCGCTTGAACCCAGGAAGTGGAAGCTGCAGTGAGCAGAGATTGCGCCAATGCACTCCAGCCTGGGCGGTAGAGTGAGACTCTGTCTCAAAAATAAAAATTAAAAATAAAACAAGTTTCTAGCTTGCCAGCAACCTAGTTAACTTATTTATAAAATAAAGATTATAAGAGTACCTATCTCTTCGGGTCATTTTAAGGAGTAAATGAACTACTCATGGAAAGTACTTAAAACAGGGTCTATCCTATAGCAAGAATTCAATAAATGTGGGCTTTTAGGATCATTTTGCAAAAGTGAGGAAAAGAAAACACAGAGCAATGAAGTTCCAAGTCTCCTAGCTCCTGAAGGATAGAGCTGGTGCAGGAATCCAGGTCCCCAGACTTCCAAACAAGTCAGGTGTTTGAGCCATGAGGTCTTAGGCATGTGTTTATAAAACAGTGATGGCAGTCCTGACACAGAGCTGTTAATAATAATTATTGCCATGGAAATTTCCCTGATCTTCTTTGAGAGGATTAGTCCAGTCATGCACTTAGTACTGTAGTTCATCAAATCTAAGATGCCATTGGGTCTAAAGAGTATTGTTATTTTATGAGTCACTGGAAAGGAAAGGAAATAAGGAAGAGAGGGAGGGAGGGAGGGAAGGAGCCAACTAAAGTTGTAGAATGCTATGCTGCTTGTCAAGCTGTTGTCTCCCAGCTCCACACTTACCCTTCTGGGTTCGCTTTCCCTCTGATGCTGGGGCTGGGACCTGCACCCCCATTTGTCCTTTGCCAGTAGGGGGACTAGAGGAGAGAGAAGAGACTTGCTTTTTCATGTTTTTCTGAATTTCCTGCCAGTCCCAGTGATGACATTGGCAATTGATTCCAGCTTGCAACTTTTGTCCATTTCCAGAACCAGAATCATACTGCTTCTCAGAGGAAACAGTCCAGTGGACAGTGCCCACTCTCAGAGGTCTTTGGGGCCCTCCTCCAGGCCCCTGAGGTGTCAGCCCCACATGGGAAACATCCCTTCTTTAGAGGTCTTCCTTTTTGATATCTCAGTTCTCCAATATCTGCTTAACCAATTCCCTATGTTAAATTCTCTCCATTAAAGTACCTCGAGTGGTTTCCATTTTCCTGCCTGGACCCTGACTCATGAATTATAAGATGACCATTGACTTCAGAAATGTTAAATGATAGTCCTAGAATTAATGCAATAAAATACTACCACAGGGAATTCATAGATGTCAAGGCTGATGGTGCCTTTGGAAGTGACCTAGTAGACCCTAGGGCTGAACCCAGGGGGATGACATTCCTTGCTCAAGGTCACACAGCCAGAGGTGGCAAGGCTAGTGCTCCCTGAACTGTGCCTGAGTGTTACTCTACTCACCCTTCGGAAGGGCCTGGCTCCTGCTCCTAGGATGGACAGTTCAGTGACACGCCTCATGGTGAGACGTCTTCATCAAATCTCTCCTTTCTTTCCAGGAAGCACACTTTGCTGGCTAATAATGGGTTTGCAATTTCTGCTGCATTGCTGATGGCCTGCTCACTCCAGGCAGGAGCCTTTGAAATGCTCATCCTGGGATGCTTCATCATGGGCATAGATGGAGGTGAGAGTTCACCATGATGGGGAGGGAACAGTAACATACTCTTTGGGGATGTCCCAAATGTGAGAGGTGTTTGGGGCTGTCACATGACTGGGGCTCTCTGCTGGTATTGAGTTGGCAGGGACCAAGGATGCTGGAACTCTGCATAAAGTGGGACAGTCCTGTGGGATGAACCATCCCATTCATGATGCTCTAGCCCCTAATTGAGGAATGCTGGGCAGGGTCCCCCGTCTACCCCCAAAGACCTGGATGGTCTTCAGCATGTCATACCTTCCGCTTGGTCACCTTCATCATAACGTTCATATTCCAAGGTTATTTGTGGTTTTCAGGGATCTTTTGTGAGGATGGTGTTTCTTCTCTGGGCCTCTGACTCATTCGTTGTTTCATTTACTCACCAAGCATTTGTGGAGCACCTGCAAGGTCTGGCACACTGTAGGATGGAGACATAATGATTAACAAGACCCTGTCCCTGGACGGGGACAGAATGGAGCTTACATTCTAGTGGGCAGACAGATACATAAGGTAGATAGTAGCAGGTCCTAGGAAGAAAACAAAGCAGGGCAGGAGGGTAGTGAGGGCTGTTTTAGAAAGGCCAATCAGGGAAGATTGCTCAGAGGAAGAAACATGAGCAGAGACCAGAGGAGCCAAGTGTGAGAACTGTTCCCAGCAGAGAGAAGTGTATGATGTCTCAGAGGCGGAAGGAGGCATGGCACGTCTGAGAAAGAGCAAGGAGATGCGTGGGTGCTGATGAGGCCAGAGAAGAGCTGGAGCCAGATCACACAAGACCTTGTAGGCCACAGCGAGGACTGTGGGCCTGTGCCAAGTGTGCAGGGAGGGTTGAGAGGAATGTGACATGGACTGGTTTGTTCCAATAAGGAAGTATGAGGGGAAGCCAGGAGTGAAATCAGAGGAACCAACTGTTCAGGGGAAGGGACTGGGCTGGGTGGGGAGCTGGGGAGAAGGGGACAGATCCTGGCTGTGGGAGTGAGAGTAGGAGACAAGATATATTGTCAGACAAACTCTGCTCTCTTTCTAAATAGGCAAATCCATAAAGTGTCACTTTTAGGCATTTGTGGAAAGATTGTAAGCCTTAGGATTAGAAATCCCTGAGTTTGGATCTCAGTTCTGCTGCTTGCCAATTTCTGATTTGTGCAGGTTACTTAATGGCTCTGAGCCTTGGTTTTCCCATTTGGAAAATGGAGGTAATAATATCTTCTTTGAAAGGCTATAATAAGGCTGAACGGGAACTCTCTCTCTCTCTCTCTCTCTCTCACACACACACACACACACACACACCCAACACACACACACACGTATATACCGCCTGGAACCTAGCATGAGCTTCTTAAAGGCTAATTCCCTTCCTTGTCGATGTCTTAAAAGCTGAGGGTACTGGGCTGTTCAGCTGAGTGAGATGAACGACAAACATGTCTCAGGGAGAGGAGGGCAGGAGAGTGGGGGCCTGGAAGTAAGGTTGGGAAGAGGAGGCTTCATTTACCTTTGTTGCCCTGCTGGAGGGGAATAATCCAGGACTCTCTGATAGTCCAAACTCAAGATGAAATGACTCCTCGATCATCTGTCTATTCATGAGTCTATTCTACTTGAATAGATGCCTTCTATTCAAGTAGAAGGGAGATGGCTATTGAGAGTTTATCCGTAAGAATGATGGCTAGTGTCTATGTAATGTTTTGTAATTGACCAACCGTGTTCATGTTTTTCATCTTTTTTGATCTCCTCCTATAATGAAAGACTGTTTTTTTCATGTTCATTTTACAAATGCGGGCACTAATGCTCAGAAGGCTGGAGCGGGAAAGTAGTTAAGGGTGAAGGCTGTGGAGTCAGACTGCCTGAATGCTCTCACTTGCTTCCGTTAATTTCATTAATTTATCTGTATAGGTTAGGTTTGCTGCATTTAAAAACCCGAAAACTTAAGCCATGATGGCACCACTGCATTTTAACCTTAGCAACAGAGCGAAATCCTGTCTCTTAAAAACAAAACAAAATGAAACAAAACGAAAAACAAAATGTAGTGGCTTGAAATAATAACCATTTTACTGTGCTTTCACTTCTGTGGGTGGGCTGGGCTGTTCTGCTCTGGGCCAGCTCTGCCAATCTCTGTTGGGCCTTCTCATGTGTCTGTGATGGCTTCAGGTTGGTCAGTGACTGGATAACCTGGGATGGTCTCATGCCTGTGTTTGGCTGTTAGCAGGTGGCCTGGTCTCAGGGGCTGTCAGTGGGCCAGATCATTTCTTGGCTTCCCACCCTGGGCCAGGGGGGCCTGGGTTGCCTCGCATAAAGTTCGTGGGTTGCCAACAGCAGCCAGAGGAGAAAGTCCCAATGTGTAAGCACTTTGCATGCACATTTGCTGATGTCCCTTGATGTGCCTTTGGCCCAAGCAAGTCCCATGGACAGGTGCAGAGAGGATTGACTCCCCAAGGATGTGGATCCAGGGAGGGGATACAAATCAGGGACCACCGCAGCAACCATTAACCTCACAGTCTTGGCCTCTTTCCCGCCTGGCATGGCAACTTAGTAGTAAGGCCTCCCTTGTTGGGTGATGTGAAAATTAAATGGGCCAGGCGCGGTGGCTTACACCTGTAATCCCAGCACTTTGGGAGGCCGAGGCGGGTGGATCACTTGAGGTCAGAAGTTTGAGAGCAGCCTGATCAACATGGAGAAATCCTGTCTCTACTGAAAATGCAAAACTAGCTGGGCATGGTGGCACATACCTGTAATCCCAGCTACTCGGGAGGCTGAGGTGGGAGAATCACTTGAACCCAGGAGGTGGAGGTTGCAGTGAGCCGAGATCACCCATTGCACTCCAGTCTGGGCAACAAGAGCAAAATTCTGTCTCAAAAATAAATAAATAAATAAATAAATAAATAAATAAAATGATCTACTATGTATGTGCAGTATTTAGTGTAGTTCCAGGCATTTAGTGCCCCACTTCAGGAATGCTGATGGTATTGTTGTCATTGTTGTTGTTATTTGTTTTCTTAATAAAGTACAGATCTGGGATTTCGGTTTCAAAGGCCCAGACTACTTTGGAGAAATACTGAATGAGGCTGCAGTGGATCACCTGGGAAGTCCTTTCCTAGTAGAGGCAAGTGAGATTCTCTCAATTTGACAGTTTTATATTTTATCCATTATCCCCTTTCTTGTTGCTTTGACTAATCTGGGGAGTTGACCCTTCGAACATATAACTAATTGATCTCTGAATTTCCTTAATTAAAATAAGCTGCATTCCAAGATGGCCCTTTTACAAAACCACAGAGATAGAACAAATGTCTTTTAGACCCTTTTTCCTATGAGCTTTTCAAAAAGAAGCAGGAAAGAAAGAAGAACAAGGAGGAAAGAAAGAAGAACAAAGAGGAAAGAAAAAACTGGGGTCTTTCTGACTTGCGGCACGTGGCCTGGAGTCACGACAGGACTTGGAGACTTCATGTCATGTATTCTTATCAACCGTCTCAAAGCAGAGAGAGGATCTCGAGGGCACTTAAGGTGAGACAATTGGTCAGAAAGAAAGGAATATTGCTGCCATTACCTGAACTGGCTGATCTGTTTGTAATAAAGAATTTAAAGCCGGGCCAGGCGTGGTGGCTCACGCCTGTAATCCCAGCATTTTGGGAGGCCGAGGCGGGCGGATCACCTGAGGTCGGGAGTTCAAGACCAGCTGACCAACATGGAGAAACCCCGTCTCTACTAAAAATACAAAAATTAGCTGGGCATGGTAGTGCATGCCTGTAATCCCAGCTACTCGGGAGGCTTAGGCAGGAGAATCACTTGAACCCGGGAGGTGGAAATTGTGGTGGTAAGCCGAGATCGCACCATTGCACTCCAGCCTGGGCAACAAGAGTGCATCCCCATCTCAAAAAACAAAAAACAAAAACAAAAACAAAAAGATAATTTAAAGCCAAATGATAAACCTGAAGGATTTTGAGATGATAGAAGGCTCTAAGACTTGCTGATCCAGCCAGGGTCTCCCGGAGTATTTGGAACCATAGTAGGACAACAGGGCATCTTCCTGGAGTGTTCTTCATCTAGAAGGTTTAGAGAGAAAAAAAACCATACTTTTTTTACATCAATACAAACATGATACCAAATGGTGTTGGAAGCAAAAGTCATGTACATAATAAAGTTAAAATAAGAGACTGTACTGCTACTTTGTGTTTGTGGAAGATTGCACTGGACATGTCCCTGCCATGGCCTTCCCAGTGCTGTCGACATGCCCAGGGGCGCAAGGTCACGTCTTCTGAATTAGGAGCTCGCTAGTGGACAAGCCCACGTCTGCTACTTTAGGAGAAGTCCAAGATCAGCAGGATCAATTGCTTTTGAGGGCTTCTGTGGACAATCTGTTCCAGGCCTCTCTTCTACCTTCAGGTGGTGGCCAGAAATCCTGGCATTCCCTGGCTAGTTGTTGCATCAGTCCAGTCTCTGTCTCCTCATCACATGGCCTTCTCCCGTGTCTGTGTCTGTGTCTTCACATGGCCTTCTTATAAGAATGAAAAGTATTGAATTTAGGGGCCATCCTACTCCGGTATGACCTCACCTTAACTTGATTACATCTGCAAAAACCCTATTTCCAAATAAGGCTACATTCACAAGTAACAGGATTTAGAGCCTCAGCATATCTTTTGGAAGGACACCATGCAACTCACTATAAGAGGTGACACTGAATGGAGACTGGAAGGTTAAGAAGCTGTGAAGCTCTGAAAACAGAGAGTTCCAGACAAACAGAAGAGCAAAAGCCAACATCCTATGATCAGAATGAGCCTGGAGTGTTCAGTGAACTCCACATCCAGGACTCCTGGGGAGGAGAGTGGCAGAAGATGGGCTCAGAGGTCAGAAGAGGCTGCTCACGGATGGGGATGCATCATGGGCCTAGGATGACCAACCATCCTGGTTTGTCCAGGACTGAGGGGGTTTCTGGGTGATACTAGGCAAACGAGGGTGAGCTGGTCACCCGATGGCGGACTTTTCACGCAGCCCACCTCCTCATTCACTGCTGCTTTAGCCACTAGTATCTCCCCTTCCATGTCATCTCACAATGAACAAATAAGAACAATTTATCGTCACCGTTTATTGACAGCTGAATCTAAGCTGCGCACTCTGCAAGGCATTTGACATGTGTTCCGTAGGTGCGTAGCACCATGTGAAGGAGATGCTACTGCCGGCCTCGCTTTACAGAAGAGGCAGAGAAGTTAGCTCCATGCCTCCGCCACTGACGACACTGCCTCTGTGCTACAGCTCCCTCATTTCCTTACTATGTTTTGTGAGATAATGATTATTATCCCCTTGTGGGGGGAAGGAGCATCAGGATAGAGAACAGTTTTTGAAGTGTTATCAAGTGACCACACGTGAGCCCAGTGCCTTACATGCAGTCATTTTATTCTCATTACAGCAGAAATAGTCATCACTGTATTTTGCAAATAAGTGAGCTGAGAGTAAAAGAGATGAAGTGACTTGATCGAGATCCCCCTGTGAGGAAACCAGGGCTGTGGGACTTGAGTCCAGTGTAGCACAGTTTTCCCTCTATTGCCCTGCGTGCGAAGAATAATAGACTAAATTGTTTGGTGGCCAGCCAATTACTCCATGAGGCCATATGCTCCCAATATATGTGTTTTGGATAAAAGTTCAAGCATCATCTGGTCTATGTTGTGACAAATAATTTCCATCTCTTTGCTTCTTAAGCATGTTTGTTTTGAGTGGTAAACCAGAAACAGTATCCGGGGCTAAGAGGCAATGAATGAGATTCCCAGTTTGTAAATTGGGGTGTGCGTTCCCTTCACTAATTTTCGGGAAAGTCCTTCCTGAATGCTAGCAACTGGAGTGAACTCAGCTCAACTTGAAGCACATTGATTGGTGCCTAAACTGTGTTGGGAACTATACTAGAGACATTGGAAAACTGAGATAGGAAAGATATTTTTGATGCCCTCACAACCTGGTGAAAAATTAGATGGTAGTAATAGGTGCTAATAATGCTAATTTGTACAGTATTTTACAATGAATAGGTAACTGAGCATATCTCAACTCTCACAGAGATCCTCTGAAGCTAGGCTCAATACTTATCCCCATCTTGTGGAAGATGAGAGAAGCTCACAACCCCACCCAAGTTCCCACAGCTTGTAAGTTGCAGGGATTTGGCCCAAGAGGCCTTGTGACTCCAGATTATGCAGTCTGTGCTCTAAACAAGCAATGAATCTGCCTGGGATAAGTGCAATGTAGTCATTTATAGGCCTATAGAGTGACTTAAGAATAGCCCTGCTCAGGTATGGGGGAAAGCAAGGTTTGTGTTTTTTAAGTTGACGAGTTCTTATGTAATTTTTACTAACAGGCCCACTGTGTGTGCAGTAAGCACTTTGTAAAACATCTTTATAACTGCTAATTTTATTCAAAATACCTATCATAAGCCTCTAAACATGTAAATTTTTCTCAAACATCATTAGATTATATGTGGGTGACCTATTTTTATAAAATGAGTATAATAGCATCTGCCATAACTGAGTCCCTTAATTTATGACAAGAGGCAATGTTGGCTGGCGGGAAAAGTTCAAGTTCTAAGATCAGAGGCCCACTGGGGCTCTATTGGGCAAAATAATTTTTTAAAGCATCTCTAGACATGACTTGGTGATTTAGGCAAGTTACTCAACTTCTCTGTGCCTCAGTTTACTCATCTTTAGAAGAGAAATAATAACAGTATATTTAATTCAGAAGACTATTGTTAAAAGTAAATATGTTAGTACATATAAATAGATGAGAAGGATTCCTGTTACTTGGTAGCCACTGTGTGTATTGGCTATTATTGTGACCACCATCACCACCATCACCATCATTGCATCACTATCACCACCACCACACCATCAATATCACCACCATCACTATCATCACCATTACTACTACTGCCACAATCACCATCATCATTGCTACAACCATCATCACCATCAGCACCACCACCATCACCATCATTACCATCACCATCACCACCACTACCATCACTACCATCATCATCACCATCGCCATCATCATCACTATTGCTACTTGCCATACCACCATCAACATTACCATCATCGTCATCACCACCATCACCATCATCACCATCATGACCATCACTACCACCACCACCATCACTACCTTACCACCACCATCATCACCGTCACCATCACCATCATCACCATCACTACCACCACCATTATCACTACCATCATCATCACCATCGCCATCATCATCACTATTGCTACCACTGTCAGCATTACCATCATCATCACCACCACCATCATCACCATCATGACCATCATTACTACCACCATTATCACCATCATCATCATTGCCACACCATCATCACAATCATCACCACCACATTACCATCATCACCATCATGACCATCACTACCACCCCCTCCATCACCATTACTACTATCACCACTACCATCATTATCATCACCATCATGACCATCACTACCACCCCCACCATCATCATTACTACCATCACCACTACCATCATTATCATCACCGTCATGACCATCACTACCACCACCACCACCGTTATCACCATCACCATCATTATCACTGTCAATACCATCACCTCCACCAACACCATCAGCTGTGTTCTGTCCTCTGAAATGCACCTCCAGTCATACTTTAGGGATTAAATTATAAAGTGCATGGGAAAGCTTTGGCAATTTGTGCGAAGTGCTGGGAAAGATGCTGTGGCTACAGTGCTATTTAACGTCCAGGGCAAAGCAGAGCCAAGAGAGGCACTGTAACCAGAGTGCGGCTCCCTCAGGAAGACACCTCTCTAACTGCTGCTATGCTTCTTCTACAGGCATCGCCCTCAGTGTGCTCCCCATGTACCTCAGTGAGATCTCACCCAAAAAGATCCGTGGCTCTCTGGGGAAGGTAACTGCCATCTTTATCTGCATTGGCGTGTTCACTGGGCAGCTGCTGGGCCTGCCCGAGCTGCTGGGAAAGGTGAGTGTGGCTCCCTGGTCAACCACATCTGCCCTCATCTCATGTTACCACTGCAGGAAGGAGCCTTTTCTCCAAAAGCTGGTCCCTGTATATTGCAATTTCTGGTGTTCAAGCCTCTTCCTTATTATTGGAGAAAAGTTGTGGAGTTCCTTTGAGTTTAATTTTTTTTAAGGACATAAAGAATACATAACAAATTGAAACCTTATAGAATGTTTAAGTTCACCCACCCAATAATTATCATTAATAGCTCAATTTGTGTTTAGGCATCTTCTGTGCTTTAAAACCTATATAAACATATATAGTTTATTGTGGTTTTGATGGAATTATGCCATATACATTGATCTACAACCTCGTGTTTTCATTTAATATATTTTGGGCATGTTTTCAAGATGTTAACTTAGCTCTACCTCATTCTTGAGTGTCTTTTTTCCTGAATAAATAAGTAAGTAGAGTCTTCTGGTTTTGGCTTGCTGTTTTGGGAGAAGGTGGGCCTGAATTTGAATCCCAGTTCAATGATCTACTTGCTGTGTGGCCTTGGCAGGGAGAAAAGAAACACTTCACTCAGGTTGAATGGGGTGGGGAAAAATCAAGGAAGGCTTTTCAGAAGAGGTGGCCTCTAAATGGACTCCTGAAGGGTAAGCAGGAGTTAGGCAGGTGATGATGGGGATTGGGAGAGAGGATATACCAGAGAAAGGAAACCAGTAAAGAAAAGGCTCAAGATGGGGTGCAGCCCTGGGAGAGAACTCAGACAGCTTTGGGGCTGAGGAGAGAACAAGCATGGGGAGGGTGAGAGATGAAGGTCTGTTCACTGAGCCACCACACACTTCGCCCTGGGGGAATAGGAAGCCCTGGGCGGCACTGGAGCTGGAGGGTGACATGGCCAGATCAGTGTTAGAAGGTGGCTCTGGGGTGGAGGCGGTGGGTGTAGACTAGAGTGGGAAAGGTGGGGAGGAGAGAGGCAGAGGGCTGCTGCTATTGGTACACGTGGTAAGGGAAGGATGCAGCTGCAACTGAGGTGGTGGACATGGGGATAAAGAGGAATGGGTGTGTTCAAGACCATGGTGGAAGCAGAGGCCACTGGACTTGCTGGGATGCCTCACAGGGATGCAGGGGCGCTCCCTTCCCACTCACACAGGCAGGGCAGGAGGGTGGGCAGAGATTAAACCACTCATGATGGTCGAATGCCCACTGCATGCCAGACTGTTCTAGGTATGAACAGTGCACAGACAGACAAACAGCTCCCTGTGGAGCTGAATTCTAGCAGCAGGGGGCAAACATAACGAATTCGCAAGTCCTAGAGCAGTTATGTAAAGGACTCGTTTGTTATGCTGCTCAAATCCTAACAGCTACTTTGTGAGTAGCTCAGATTTGCAGCCTTGGACGCAAGCAGAGAGAGGTAAGGGACAGAGCTCTCGTGAACAAGGACATATTGGTGCTGAAACCAGAACCTGGGTCTGTGTACTTTCAAAGCCACATATGGGGAGTGTCTCATACAGCCAAGGACGGATCACACTGGTGTTTCTGGGAATGTGCGAGCTCTGGAGAGAAGGGGCTAGTTCTGCCCACGGGCTCCTTTCTGTCCCAGCTGCTGAACCTCACTGACTCTAGGGCCAGCTCCTTTCGCATTCAGTGGAAGGTTTTATAAGTGGAGGAATCATTGCATTATATTTTTCAAACAAATTTTCAATGTTTTGAACATTTTTTATTGTAGTAAAATCCACATAAAATTTACCATTTTGACCATTCTTAAGTGTACTTTTCTGTGATATTAAAAGTGACTTTTTATATTTCAGCCAGTCGAGGTCACCTCAGAGGCATCTGCTTCTGATCTTTTATTATGACCATTCTGGGTTATTATGGCTATAACTTTAGTTTCTTCTTTTGCAAAAACAGAAACAACTCACATTTTACATCTGGTTGTCGTATGCGTGACGAGTTCTATAATTAATTGTGTGTGTTAGAAACAGTCTCTCTACCTAAGTGAGATTCCAAACTAAAGAGACTCTTTTGCTTTTTGTCTTTAAAGATATTTTAAAATTCTCAAAATAACCACCACGTGTTGACAATAAAAACAAGATAACAGCCTCAGCTCCCTAAACAAAAATACATTTAAAAGTTAATGAAGAGTGCTATTGTCCTTTAGGAGTAAAAAAGCAAATAAATATTTGCCTCAGGAGAGCTAAGCTTTTCTCTTTGGGGATCATTTCCAAATTCCTCTTTGTTTATAAATCAATATCAAGTTCTTTCCGCTGCTTGAGTCCTTAAGGTCTTTCTTCAACCTTTGTCTTCATCCTTTATTTATTCATTCACCACATTTGTTAAACATTGAGTTGATGCTGGAGCTACAGCTTTGAGCACGTCAGGCACAGCCCACATCTTAATGTTGCTCAGACTGCAAGGACTGTGTGACCTTGGGCAGGTCAACTCACCTCTCTAACCAGTGTCGTCTTCAGTAGGAGGCATGGTTGCAAGTCCCAAATTCCCAAGCCCCACTCAAGCTTGACTTCCTCTGGGAAAACATCGCTGGCAAATCGTGACTGTTCAGCACATCCCAGGACACCGTGCACCTGTGCCTCTCCCACACTGATTTCTGTTTGCTTCCGCATCTTGTCCTGCCAGTTGGTGGCATCTTACTTGTATGCACAATAACCCCGAGGCATCAAGTTTATCCAGTCATTCAACAAATGTTTAGAAAGCTCCTCTTGTGTGCCAGGTGTTGGGTTGGCTGCTGGTGGTAGAGTGGTGAGGTCATCAGGCTAGCCCTGCCCTTGGGAGCTCCCAGGAGGGTGATTGACCAGTGGCCACAGGTGATAGGAAAATAGGCACTGACCTCTGGTAGGGCATTGGGGGTGGTTTCTCTGCAGCAGTGACATCTAAACTCATGGCTTGAGGATGAGTAGGATTTATCTGGGCGGGACTGTAGGAAGAGAGAGGAAATGGGGGTGGGGCATTCCAGCAGAGGTAAGAGTATGGGGGAAGGCCCTGGCATTTGTTCAGAGGCAGAAAAACTCAGATGACAGGAGGAGGGAGAGGGAGAGGGAGAGAGAGAAGGAGGGGGAGGGGGAGAGGGAAAGGGAGAGGGAGGGGGAGGGGGAGAGGGAGAAGGGGAGGCCACTGGCCAGGCAGATCTGTGGGCAGGAGGACCACACCTATGCTGTAAATGAGCACAGGGAAGGATGGGCAAGGTGAGGGGTTCCCTGGACCTGTGGCTGCTTGGAGGACAAGGGCAGCCCCTACTGTTTGCATCACAGACATTGGCCTAGAGATGACAGATTTTCTGATTTTCAAGAGCTATTACAAATCCAAATTTGTCATATTTCATAATTTGTAAATATTGGAAACTGACCTTTAAAAAACAAAAAACCTCCCTCCTGTGGCCTGGGTCCAGCCTTAGGGCCACCTTTCACACACCTTGATGGGAAGTGTGTACCTGTGAAGGCTTATTTGTACCCCAAAGCAATGGGACATCATTGAGGACATGACGAGTGCTTCAAGAAGGCTTTTGGGCTGCAGCATAGAGAAAGAATTGGATCCCAGCCAGGACTGAAGGGGTTGACTGGTCCAGTTATGAGTTGGGTCAGAGTAATGGCAGTGTGGATGGAAAAAGGCGGATGAGGTTGAGTGAGGCTAGTGGTGATGGGATGTGGTGTCCCAGAGAAGACTGGAGAATAACTCCCAGGCGTCTGGCACATCAGCCAGACAGAATAGTGGTACCAGATGCTAAGACAGGGAGCTGTGAAGGAGGAGGAGCAGCTCTGCAGGGGACAGGGTGACAAGTTCACTGACGTGAACTGTGCATGTCACGTAGCAACTGGAAGGAAGAGCTGATTCGAGGACCTGGGTACCTAGATTCTGAGGCTGGGACACTCTCTCCCAGGGACAACAGGGCTCATGAACATGATGCCAGCCAAGGGGCACAGCTGCCCACGCCCACCTTCTGGACTCGAGCCAGCCAAAAGTTGTACCATTGGTCCCTCTAGGCTGTCTCTTCCCATCAGATGAGCGTTTCCAGACAGTCTTGGCCCTGGCCAGGAAGATGGGTGAGGAACCCTGTAAATATCCTTTTGTTTTCAAATTTGTGCTCTGGGAATGTGGATCTAGGGCTTCTGGTCTAGGAAAGAACATCAAATGGGAATTTTTTATTCATGTCTCTGGGGATTTGCAGTGTTCCAGCCAAGTGAAATTCACAGTTATTTCACTAAGCGTCAGAATTTCATTTTCACTATTTTAATCGTATTTCTCATTTACCTTCAAAGACTGAGACAACCAAGCTTTTGAAAAAAGAGAGAAAAACTGGGCTTCAATGCAGGCAATTGCTTTGAAACAGAGGGTGAAGGAGGTTAGCAAGAAGGTAGCTATTTTATTTATTTTATGACTTCAACTTTTATTTTAAATTAAGAGAGTACATGTGCACCCTTGTTTCCTGGGTATATTGAGAGATACTGAAGTTTGGGGTATAATTTATCCCATCACACAAGTACTGAACATACTATCCAATAGTTTTCCAACTTTTGTCCCCTCTATTCCTCCCCTCCATCTATCCCACTATCTCCAGTGTCTGGTGTTGCCATCTTTATGTACATGAGTACCCATTGTTTAATTCCCACTTATAAGTGAGAACATGTAGTGTTTGGTTTTCTGTTCCTGTGTTATTTCACTTAGGATAATGGCCTCCAGCTCCATCCATGTTGCTGCAAACAATATGATTTTGCTTCTTCTCATAGCTGCATAGTATTCTATGATGTATGTGTATCACATTTTCTTTATCAAGTCCACCATCGATGGGCACTTAAGTTGATTTCATGTCTTTGCTATTACGAATAGTGGTGCCACGAACATACGAGTGCATCACTCTTTTTAGTAGAATAATTTATTTTCTTTTGGATATATACCCAGTAATGGGATTGCTGGGTCAAATGATACTTCTGTTGTAAGTTCTTTGAGAAATTTCCATATTGTTTTCCATAGTGACTGAACTAACTTACATTCCCACCAACAGG